AAGGGGGCCCAGCAGGGAGGTGGCAGTTCTGGTCCTTACTGAGGAAGACAGAGGCAAAGAAGTTATTAAATATGTTGGCTTTGTCGTCTGACGTGACAACCAGATTCCCCGTCTTGTCCTGCAAGGGCCCCACACTTCCTGGGGCCTTCTTTCTACTCCCTATGTATTTAAAAAAGGACTTCTTGTTGTGAGCATTTTCTCGAAATCTTGCCTACAATCTCAGTGTCCTTGTAGTGCCTTGCACCAGTACCCCTGTGCACACCTGAGGCTTGCTCTCTACCACAGCAGTCACTAATCAGTTGTAAGGACATGGTCCATGCGTTGTGGCATTTCCCTTAGTTTTCAGGAGGGTCTATTTTATCTTTGTTGTTCGCTTTATAATGAAGTGGACTGAGTTGATATGCTGTTTTCAGGCACTCCTCAAATGTTGAGGTTTTGCTGTCCAAACTTGTACTGTGTCTTCCTTGGGAGTTATACAGCCCAACCTATAATTGCTCTCCGAATGTTTCCCATAAAATTTAGATTCTCAAAGAAATGGGGATTTAGCAGTAATGTTGTCTTAATATTGCTCTTGGTTTTATATTTTTTGTTTAAACCAGGGCTGTCCAACTCTGAGCAGCTGGGGGCAGGTATAGGGTAGCCATCATAGAGGACAGTCTGGTTGTCCTATGTCCTCTATTGATACGAAACCCGACGCCTTTATGTCCTCTATTTTTCTCTTGAAGAGAGGAACAGAAGACATAAAGGCGTTGGGCTTCGTATCAATAGAGGTCAGGTTAGCAGAAAACCAGACTGTCCTCTATGATGGCCACCCTAGGGCAGCATGCCACATGCTCTTTGCACTCCCCCCCCCCCCCCCCCCCCACAATCTTCAGCGGTCTAGATTTCCAAGTTCCACTTGTGTCTTAAATGCAACCACAGTTTTTTCTGTATTTTAACTACCAATGTGAGGAATAGGACTTTCATGAAGAAGAATATTCCCATGAGTTTGAAGGCTTGCACCCAATAGCAGCAGCAAAGGATGTATTCAGCTCAATCCGCCTGGGAACTGAGGCATCAGTGTTCCTCTTCCGTAATGCAAGGACTTCAAACCTTCACTAGATTGATTTATCAATAGGCTTCATTTATATTCCTCTGAAAGACACAGAATTGCAGTAGGAACCACATCTTCTGCAATGCTAGTTCTTCTGCTTCACACATTCAGCATTTTATGAACTAAGCTTAACAATATAATCAAATATCTTTAAGCTATATATCTCATAGTCCTTTACTTACAGAAGTAATCTCTGCCGTATTCCAGTAACATTACACAAATGAGTAAAAATTGCTTAAGGTGAGTGATGTTTGCAGAACTGGGCCTTTAACCAGAAAAAAGAGGGAAAAGAAATATCCAGGAACTGGAAGCAGTTGTTAAATTAATTTTCACTTGATCCACTAACTCAAAATCTGCTAAAATTAATTTACAGTGATTTCTAGGCACAGGGCAAGCAGCATCGTTCTACAGTAAAGCACAGCAGGAGCTTGAAAATAATGTAAAACAAATATGCATCCAGCCTCTTTTCCGCTAAAATAAACACGTTCTGCTGTAAAGAGTTCAATGGTGCCACACACGTACAATATTGCAATAGGTGCCTTCACCTCTGTGTTTTTGAATTTTAACTCCTCAGGTCTTAATGTCTTCTCATCATGTGCATTTAATATTAAGATCATATACTGCATAATATTTATATTATGGCATATGTAAATACGTTGGGTCACATTCTTAAAAGGAAATCAAAGAATTACTGTTCCAATTTGCTGCTTGGTTTGAAGCTCCTTGCATCGGTTTCTTTTCTTAATCAAGTGTAATTCTGCAGCTATCCAGTGGCAATTGCATTGCTGCAGGTTAACAGT